TGAGCACTTTTATTTCCTTTTATGGACAATATCTGGCACCTTCATATGCATGCAGTGTAAATAATGGGAAGTAACATAAGAGAAGTAAATGTCGTAATTAAAAATTAGAGAAAATGTTATCTGAGTGTCAAAGTCAAACATTACATTTAGGTCAGATATTAAGGCTGGCTGCTGGCCTTTTGTCTGTGGAATTTGTTTGCTGAGTCGTTTTGCTTTCATTCACATGACTGTTGCTCTTGCTTCTTATTTTCCTAATATAGGAAATAGTACCTCCCGTTATTATATTAAGCTGTTTCCTTTCTAAGACACTTAGCAAGCTCAGTCTGTGCATTTCCTCTGTCACGCTGATCTTATATATCATGTGTGTGCTTCCTGAAACCATTTAAGCCTTGATGGAAACTATTAGCATGTCAGTGCAGGCTTAACAGAGAAAGGTTGCTTAGTCTAAAAACATTCTTTCCTCTGCAGAGAACTTTTCAGTTTTGTGGTATGCTGTATGGTTGCTAATAGTGAGTTTTCAAGAGCAATTTTGATGAAGGACCTTTTGGGGTTGGGGGTTAGAAACCGAATGCTTTGACATTTCATTTCTGCACGTGGATTCGAATGTGGCTTCCATCAGCCGGTGATAGGAAATAGTTCCATCTGATGGCAGCCTCATCCGTACGGTCGGCCAGCCCTCGGCGATTCATTTTGCCTGAGCAGGTGTTCATGTCACACAGAAAATGCTGTCACCTCTGACTCTCGCGGACGCTACAGGGTTAAGTGTTTTCAGCTGAGTTGTGGACTTTAAAGAATCACCACCCCAGCCCCCAGTTGGGCCTTTTAATCAAGGCTCCCTTGGGGGGAGCAGTGGTCCACCACGCAGAATACCCTGTAGACATGATTTGTCCTCTCTGATGTTTCAGAGTTCCTCTGAGCCTCTCTATCTCGTCAATGTATACCATCTTTGTAAGAAACAAGTTCCACATGTGTTGTTGTGGGGGGCTTTCCCTGCTACATAGAGGAGTATTTAGCTTAGTTTGATCTAAAACTCTTACTTTAAAAGATGCCCCTTGAAAATGCTCTAAAATAGATTGTGGTGATGGTTGCACAGCCCCGTGACCACACTAAATATCACTGCATTGTAGACTTTAAATGCGTGAGTTCCGTAGTACACGGTATCTCAGTAAAGCCGATGCGTGTGTGCACGTGCATGCACCATTCCCCTTGGTTCAAAATTCTGATATTTAGTAAACAAGCCCATGTGCTCAGTATAATTTTTTGCTTGTGGTTTCATAACCCTCTTCATATTTACTCTCCTGAATCTTTGGATCTCCTAGCTAAAGAGCGCTCATTTTTGCAGTTTAACCTTATGTACATTAATTTATCAATCAACAAGTACGTATTTAGCATCTCTTTTAAGTGTCAACAGCCAAATTATAAAAGGGACAGCAGTAATAGTAGGCTGAGAGGCGCTTTTGTCACCAGAATTATTAATAATAAATTAAAGTAGCGGTTGGAACTGCGGCCCTTCTGCTGGTGAAGCACAATAGCGACTTCGCCGGGACTGCGGTGACAGGGCGCCAGCGACGGAGTCCCTGCGAGTGGCCCAACAGGGGAAGGGGTTGAAAAGAAGGAAGGGGTGGTTTACATTACAAAGGGATTGTCTGAGAGCTGTTCAAGTGCGGTTCTGAGGGCAGGGCAGGCTGGAGAGGAGGGGATGACAACCGTGGAGCTGTCAAGGGCGTCTCAGGGGCTTAGGCGAGCGCCTTGGCAGCCAGCGAGACACAGCCCTGCCCGGAGCCTGCTCGTCCTGGCCCCGCCCGGTTCTGACTGATAAAAGGAAAGGCAGTGAGAAGACAACCGAGCAGACCAGGAGGCCTGGGCAAACGGCACACAATCCTAGAGTGAGTCCCGGAGCCATTGGGACATTAGCTGAAAAATCTCCTGGCTTCACTTTGACCAGGGTTAGACCACTCATTTGGGGGAGTAAACAGCATCAGGGAGTGTGTGTGTGTGTGTGTGTGTGTGTGTGTGTGTGTGACTAAAATGCTGTGATTGGCAGATCTATTGAAAAAGAGTAAGTCCTTGACATCTGTTGAACTCCTCCTTAAGGTTGCATATTTCCAAAATGCACACGTACATGCACGCACACACACACACATGCCCTGCTTTTACCAGATGCTGTGGGGTATATAATGAAAGAAAAACAAAACATCTACACTACAGTCCATATTCCAATTGCCTCATTTGTTCCAGTGCTGTTCTTTATAGCACTTCCCCTCCAGCCAGTGATCGTGGATTCCATTTGGCTTGCATGCATTAGAGAGGCAGAAAGAGCCCAAGAATATGAAGGAACTAATGAGGCAAAATGTTAAATATTGATGAATGCTGGCAAAGGAATGTTCTCCCTGTGTGACCCCCGCTGACCTCTTTATCCCGGTCCCATAAGTCTTGTCCGGCTGCGCACTATACCGCGGCCCCAGCGGCGCTCTTTTTGTTCCTCAGACAAGCCAAGCTATCCCCACCTTTAGGCCTCTGCGCTCGGTCCCCTCCTTTTCCCTGAGCTGCACTTGGCTGCCTTCTATGTGTCATTTAGCTCTCAGCCAAAATGTCACTTCCAAGAGAGGACCTTTCTGTTAACTGAAGTGATGATCCAGACACTTTCCAGATACCTGCCAGTGTATCCCTAGCATCCAAAAGAGCACCTAGGTTGCTCAAAAACTATTTGTTGCCTGAGTGTACTAATCTAAATGCCCAGAAATACAAAGTTATTAAGAATGATGGCAATGCCTTATGGATGTGGTTTGTGCAAGGAGATGCTTCAGGTCGTTAATCAGGGACACATATTCAATGAGAAAACCTTGATTCTACATTAGAATAATGATGAATAAATGTACATTTATATATACTTTAATTCAATATTAAATGTTTAAGATACATAAAGTCTTTTTTATATACTCCACTATAATAAAGAGTGGGTTTTTTTTTTTCATGGCTTTTAGAAAGAGAGGAACAGAGAGAGAAACATCTGATGTGAGAGAGAGAAGCATCAATTTGTTCGCTTCCCACAGGCATCTGAACCAGGGGTTGCATGCGCCTGTACCCAGACTCAGGGTCAAACCCAGAACCTAGGCAAACTGACCAGGAACCAAACCACAAGTCTTTCGGTTACAGAATGATGCTCCAACCAACTGAGCCGCACCAGCTAGGGCATAAAGAGTGTTTTTGACTTTGAAATACTGATACAAATTATGTGGGTTAAGAGGGCATCTACTATCTATAAAACATACACACAAATACACACACAAATTCCAAGTAGAGAAGTAGTATGAGCATGAAAAAAGAAATACATGAAAGTAAGAACTCATTATTAGAAGGAAATGACATTATGAGTTTTTCCTATGTAAATTTTCCTAGCATTCTACAGGCAGGTCTGTTATTTTTCTATTTTAAAAATATTTTTACAAGACAAAAAAATAATACAGAATAGATACAATCAAACATTAATAAAACTGTGAACACAATGGAGATGGAAGGACTTTCTTGGATCTGGCATGTCATTGCATGAAGCTTTATGGAAAACGGTGGTAATTCATCTATGCTTTGCAAAGACATACTTTTGAGGGTAGACAGATAAGTAAGTAGAGAAAGCTTCTTTGATCAAGTAGCAGAATGAACAAAGCTACGAAGGGACCAACTAGTGCATAGGAGACAAGCCTAAATGAATGGAAAGCTCACATTTGGGGGATAGCAGGGCCGGACTTGGGAGAGGAAGATAGGGTCACATTTTAGAAGATCTTTAAAAACATGCAAAGAGGTTTAGACTAGAAGTGGAAAGAAATAAGGACCTACTATAGGGTCTTAAGAAAAAGGGTAACATGATGGCCTGGGTGTTTTGGGAAAATTATTCTGTGCAGGGAGTGAACCAACGCTGGCACTTGCGGGGGGAGGTGGAGCAGCGGTTGCTGCCTGTGTCCGTCTGGTATTCATGGCAGACACCAAGATCGACCACAGCTGCGCTCTGCTGAGACCCGACCTCCCGCCGGTCAGCAGCAACCAGCCAGCACTGGCATAGGAAGCTCAGTTGCCTTTTTCTGTGCACGTTGTTACACTAGAGAAGTGAAAGCGGGGGAGATGGAAGGCAGTAGAAGAGACGTGAGGACCCAATGGATGGACTTTTATGTTCTGAAAATATAAGCAGGATCAACATCTTGAGATGCTTCATTTGTGCTTGTCAGTTTGTGTTTTAATTAGGGCCAGAAATAGAGATCTTTTTGTATAACTCATCATTCAGTTGTTAGAGAAATGTTCTGTTTTTTAAGGCTTTGTCACTGGGGTGCAGTTTTTAGGCAGTTGCTTTTTAAAGACCCTTTCCTTAAATAATTAATAAACCTTGAGGACAGTCACTCCAAGAAATTATGTGTCATAAAAAGACTCTCCCCTGCCTTTAATCTACAAAGATTTAGAAGCACCTGCTGTGTCCACTCGTGGGAGTTAACTTGTCAGAATATGTTCAGCCACTTTTTCTGTTTTTTTTTTTTTGAAGGTTTTGTTTTCTCTCTTTTTTAAAAAAGCTGTTTTTAGATTGTGGAATAGCAAACAAAATTAAAAATAAAATGAAATTGTCTCATCTTTGCGGGAGAAAACCTTCTACTCTGTCAGTGTGTGGGCTGCAAGCAGAACAGAATGTTTATCTTAACTGCATGTTAAAGACAGAAAATAAAGTTAGCAATGGCCAAAAGGCCTTCTTTTGAATAACTTATCACAAAAGGGAAAACATAAATCTAGTGGCAAAACACTAAAGGAAACACTTTCCTTTATAGGCTAGTGCTTCTTGGATGGGTCAGGGAACATATAAACTTTCATTTCTGTCCACTTGATTGATTCACGGTAACCTCCCCAAATTTCTAATTCAAGGTTTGGTTGCTGGGACCAGGGGCCGTTGAGTATTTTATGGATGATCTTTTTTTTTTTTTCTTTTGTTCTCTTTTCCTCTATTATCTATGCTTGTGATCAAGAGCTTACAAGACCCCATGAAAAAACTGGTTGAGAAGGAAGAAAGGAAGAAGCTCGCCCAGCAGGGAAGTGCCGAGGCCACAGCGGAAGAGCCAAGCCAGTAAGTCACCAACCACTTCTCTTGACAACATCTTTGTTCCCACGGGCGAGGGCAGCGCCATCCGGACTGACCGAGTCCGTTGGGGCTTCGCACCCAGGGTCACTGCTTTACTGCCTCCCTTCTGAGAGCAGATATGTTCAAATTGAGACCAAACCCACCAGCACATTTTTCTACTAGACCAGACTTACCCCCAAAAGAGACCCCCTTCTGGGGTTCTTAGAGAAGGGACACACTTGTGAGCTGTTCAGTGGGGCAGGAAAGGGCAGTGTCCCCACTGCTGCCCAACCAAAAAGGGTCCAGCTTTCTGGACCTTATCTGGCCCTTTTGCCACCATCACTTACGAGATCCTGTCCTAGGTAGGAAATCCCCTGGCTTTTGTCTCAAAGAAGGAAATAACCTGTGACATCGCCTCGTAAGTCATCTCCTACTTAGGTGTTAGCATCCAAAAGTGTTGGGCTTCGACGTTTTGTGCTCTGCCCTTCAGGCCTGCTGATTTCTCCTCCGCGAGGCAGAGAGCAGCCCTGAGTACAGGAAGTGCCTGCTCCGTCATCATTTCTCGCCTCTTTGCAAAGAAGGCGCCTGCAGACATTTTACATAATGAGAGAAACATTCGACATATATGGTGCAAACCTCCTCACACAGCCAGGAGAAGGTTTAAATGTGAATCTGTCTTTTTCTATTGAGATGTCATAGCCTGCAAGAGCAGCATTAACTTTGAACAGGCCTGACCTAGGAAACCAAAATAGATTACCCTACCGTTTGCTTCTCCTCTTCCACCCACACACGAAATTAGATGACAATCTTATGGCAAAGCAGCCTGATACTTTTACAGTGTTTCTAAATAAAGTTTCAAATATATGCACACACATGCGCACACACACGCGTAAGTTTTTGTCCCACTCAAATATTTGCTACCAATTTTAGCCGCCCCCTCCTTTTCTAAAGCAAATGCTAGCAAATTTCTTTAGTGCAGAACAAAAACAAGTTTTCACTGTAGGAAGGCTATAAAATGTGATCTCAGTGTAGTACAGTTGACTATATTGGGGAATCGGTTTAACCTATTCCTAGTAATAAAAATAAAAATAGTACCAGTTAGTGAGCACCTACTCTGTACTGAGCCCAGTGGCAGGCACATTACTTATGCATCTCACGGTGGCCCTCCATGCCATCAGCGTGGGCTCTTCCCAGCGCCTGAGTGAAGGGAGTGGGGCCCCGGGGGGCTGTGGGACTGCCCACCGCCGCTGATGTAGCAGGAGACAGCCTACAGTGAGTCCTGGCATCTTCTTTTCACCATATATGTTACTACAGGCAAAAGAAAGCCTTAGCCTTTACCCAGGAGGGAACTACCCGAGATCATCTTGATTAGTTTGAATTCATTTCAGATTTCGGCTTCTTTTTAATCCTTCATTTTTAAAAGCTCAAATGTATAATCCGTGAACTATTTTAAAAGACAATGAAAATTCAACAAGCATTTTTTTCAGAAAGAGCAGGTAAAGGTGAACCACTGTCGGAGGAAGGAGGTTCCGAGGCACTAGCCAGGGCTCAGGCTGGGGAGGTCTCTCAGCCGTGATCTTACCTGTATGTGCTAAGAGCGGAGTTAGGCGACAGCTGTCTGCATTTGAGAGCGATCCTGCCCTCAGCCTCATGTAATTTAATTAACCTACTGAGAGGTCCTCCAGAAATTAGGACAAACCCCTGCTTGCCCATTGGTTTTGTAACTGGTTTTTTTTTAAATGATAACTTAAGTATCTATCTTTCTTATACCTAACTAACCACCTAGATATTTGCAGAATATGTGCCTTACAATGAAACAAGATTCAGATGTTAAGATGCTACTAACCAGCCTTGGGACAGGAGAAAACAAGAAAATGTATTTCTTCTTCAAAAAACATAGCCTGTAAATGACTATACATGCACCTTGTGTCTCTGTGTGTGTTGGAAGTGCAGTAATAGATATTGTACAGAAAATCTGGCTATATCATAAATAAAATATTTCAGAACTAGATTACTAAAATTTTTTTTTAATTTCAAGGTTGATTTCATTAGAGGAAGAAAACCAGCACAAGGAATCCTCTATTTTTAAGAGTAAGTTTTGATTTTTATTTAGAATTGATTCTGAAATACTAATTTCAACAGCCAGCTCATTGTCTTTTTCAGCAAGCTCCTCCTAGGCCTCTCTTCTTTTCCAATTGAGAAAATTGTATATTAATACACCTTCAGTCTTAAATTTTCATAGCCCAGTGATGTCGGCCGTAGAGTGTTATTGAGAGAGGTTGTGTATTTGGAACCAGCAAAGAGCATCATTAGTCACCTTGGCAGCAGCCCGTCAGACGAGTATCCACAGTTGAGAGTCAGCAGAGAGCTATTTCTTGTACAACAGATGATATCACTTCTGCTATTCCCATTTTCCCATTACCAGTTCTAACTGCCGTTTGGGCTGGAGAGAGAGTTTTAATAAGATCGCACGATTACATTGGGTGGGTACGGCTTTCACTGTGCTGTGGGGTGGGTGTCGGCCGTTGTGGGGAACAGAGGGGGAGGGCTTGACAATGCTTTTCAGGTGATGTTTGGGCCTGTTCTGCAAAGACTGACTCCAGATCCCTCTGTGTACCGACCCTCCTGTGGTCGGAAAAGGGATCGGAATGTGGGGGGATGATAGCATGTGCCACGAGTGGCCTGTCAGATCCCCCTGTCTCCTGCCATTACTCCCCATTCTTTCATTGGTTCATCTTCTCATTAAGGAGTAGAGGGAATGGTCAATTGGAGTAGAACTAGGTGATGTAATGTGGAGCCTCTTGCTGGGACTCAAAACCCTCAGAGACACAGGGGAATGTTTTACAGGTGATGGGAGGAGAACTCAATTACCCCGACCGTCTGTTCAGCCCAGCCCTCCCAGCCACGGAGCTGCATCTGCCCTGTTCCACCCTTTGCTGCAGCGCCTGGCCTTTCTGGGAGATGGGAGGAGGCACAGCAGACCCTGAAAATCCCCTCTGTTCCATCCTTTGCTCCACCCTCTCTCATCCTTCTGTCTTGCTTTCTACTCTTCCAACCACTTGCTTCACTTACTTTATTCTTCTCCTACTTTACTGCTTCATTTGCTTCTCTCCCATGTGACATTCAACAGAAAAAAACAAAAACAACTCTCACTTTTTTGCCTCTCTAGGTTGGTTTCCATCATCCATTCACACACGAACACCTTCACTGACTCACATACTTGCTCATTTGCTCAGCAAAAGTTTTTGAGGGCCACCTCGGTGGCAGGCATAGCCCTGGGCTCTGGGGACGTGGGGGTTCTGCAGCCCTAGTCAGATGGTTCCAGGATGGGGCTTGCAGCCAAACAGGCAGCGAGTGCTGATCTCATGATACACATGTAATAGGGCAACTCCAGCTTTGGTAACATGTGTGATGGGGAGACATAGTCAAGTGTGGTTGCAGAACCTGTCAAAGCCAAAGAAGCAGCCTGGGTGAATATTATAAACAAGAAGGACCAGGAGAAGGTCGGAGGGAGGGAGCGAGTGGCAAAGGAAGGCAGAGAGACAGCCAGCCTGTCCTCGTTGGCTATGTAAGAGCTCTCTGACTATTGCTCCACACCCTCCAGCCTTAGTATCCCTTGGGTACTGACAGCGTGAATCATGTTGAGGGTAATCTAGGTAACTGAATCAAAAAATTTTAGTTCTGTGGGAAAATGTTAACTCCAGTTTATTATATTTGTATTCAAGTTGTCATCTATTAATATATTAATCACAGGTTCATGCCATTGATGACAATACAGGAGCATCAAATTTTCTTTTTCTTTGTGCAATATATTTACTTGCTTGTGGCATTTGCATAATATTTTGAGGCTATACATGTTGATCACCTTGTTTTATATATTCACAGAATGGAATCCATTAAAATGAAGTGTGCTCTTTTATTCTGTGACCTGCAGAAAGTCTAATGTTCATATGAGCAAACCAAGTTTTAAGGCCGTTCTATGTTATTTAGAGCAGTTTTTGGCTCCCAGCCAAACTGGGCAGAAGGTGCAAAGTTTTCCCGTATACCCACTGTGTCCACACGTGCATGGCCCCTCCCCCGTTATCAACATCCCCCACCAGAGTGGTGCATTTGTTATAACTGATGAACCACATTGACACGTCTTATCCCAGAAATTCCATAGTTTACATTAAGGGTCATTCTTGGCGTTATAGAGCCTGTGGGTTTGGACAAATGTATAATGACATGTATCCACCATTACAGTATCTTACAGAATGGTTTCGCTGTCCTAAAAATCCCCTGTGGCTTCACCATTCAGCTCTCTCTCACCTCAAACTCCCAGCAACCACTGATCTTTTTACTGTCTTCGTAGTTTTGCCTTTTCCAGAATGTTGTATTGTTGGAATCGTGCAATATGTAGCCTTTACAGATTGGCTTCTTTTACTCAGTAACCTGCCCTTTTATCCATCAATAGTCACGTAAGTTGCACATTTGTCCATGGAAGGAGAATTGTGAGATCAGTGTCATATGGTGTTTTCCTACACAAAGCAAAGATTTGGGGCTGTTAAGTCAGCATTCACTGAGAGCCAGCAGCTTGCATGAAAGGTGAAGCAAGGACCTCTGCTTCTGTGTGAGTGAGTGTGTGGGTGTCATTCCTTCCTGAAGCTGTGTGTGCACCTTACTCTACAGTCGAATGCAAACATGTACACCAGGTGAATTGTTGATGACCAACTGCACATTGTATTTACAGCTGAAGAAGAAAAAAATGTTTTATCTGCCTTAGACAAAAGCTCTACGCATCATGCATGCTCAGGTAATCCAGATTAAAGAAAATGGCTCAATTTTAAAAATTTGATTTACACTTCTTACAAAATAAAACTAACTCATGATTTTGTTTTCTTTCCCCTCCTCTAATGGGCTGATAGATGAATTACTAAACATGAAACCTGAGGAAGGTGGTAAGATTTATGCATTACTTTGGAGTTATAAATTACTTTTTTTATTACCAGTTTTACATGCAGAAAATTATAATGTTTATCTTTTCAATAGGTGGCTGTTGTTTGTTTTTATAAATGAATTTAAATATGCTCAAGCACATATTAGTTTATGTGGTTCTGTCGCCCTTTGTATAATTAATTTCACAATCTCATACTACTACAGCTCAAAGTTGTGATGTCAAAGGTTGTGTGTTGTCGTAGAGAAAACATGGCTTTCACAATAAGAGAGGCCTGGGTTTGAATATTGGTTCTACCATAAATTATCTCTAAGGCTTTAAGGAATTTGCTTCATACCCACGCTCTCTCAACCTCAGTTGTCCTCACTTGCTGGGTTACTGGCAGGACAGGAGATCATGTATGTAAAGGGTCTCTCCTGGTCTCTGACACAGGGACACCCTTCAGATGGTAAGCAGGTGTCCCTGTGTCACCTGCTAGTAGCAGGACTAGAAATGTTGTTCTGATGTCATACTGTTGCATCTCCGTTGAACCTTAGTTAAATTCGGAGAGCTGGCCAGCTAAGTCCCATACCCAAGTTTACAAGGCCTAAAATCATTTACTGAATAACCATCCAAATGAGAATCCAGAGCCATGGATTTGTGTGAGACTTTGATAGTCTTAAGGAATCCCAAGAAACTGAGTGTGTGCAACCTGGTCATAACATTTGCTTTCCATCCTCCTGAGGGTTTACTTCTTATCATTTATCAGAAGCCGAAAGCACCCTTGAGATTCTGCACTGCACTCTAGAGCAGGCCTGGCCTTTGGGGCTGGCGCCTGGCCTGCCCTGGCTTTCAGTTTTCCTGCAGGACTGAAGTGAGCCAAGGTCACCCTACAGACTCCAGGTCACAGCAGCCAGTGACTTCCTTGACTCATCCTGAGCTTGGTTTGGATTTAACTCACAGAGTATGAGAGGAAGAAAATCGAGAAAACAGAGGGTATTGGTTAAAGTGTTTTCAAAAATGGAAAGGCAGCAGAACTCTGATGTTAAGTTTCTAGGGCTGAGGAAATGTAAACTTGAGGACAGAAACCTGCTTTCCTCTTTTTCCAGGCAACATTCTGTGCAATAGTTTATGAATGTCCATGCATATTTTATCAAAATGGCTAGTTATTTATAAATATTGAAATCATACCAGGTTGTAGCAATAATTACTGCAGATTGTCATTGTATGGCCTCCATTTTCATGAAAACTGTGCCTCCTTGGCTTAAGGGTAGAATAGTTTGATGGAATAATGGTTTTTGTGGAACTTATCTTTTGGAGGGGGAAATAGTTTAATCCTACAAGGCGAGATAAGGACTATAATATAACAAGCACTGTGTGCCCATCACATAGTTTTAGCAATTCTTAACATTTAATAGAAGTATTTATAATCATACATATGCTTCTACTTATTTTGATAGGTATATTGTTATTTCTCCTATTCACAGCCTCTTGTATATATAATTTGATCTTTGACTTTGTCTTCTATTTAATTTTATTATTAAAAAAAACAGTTTTTGAATAGGTGGTACATTCACATTGGTACAAAAAACAAAGTGATAATGAAATGTATACAGCGAGAAAACTCTCACTCCCATCTCTGCCCCCCGACTCTCCTCTCTATTCCAATATTCCTGCCCTCTTGCTGCCTGCCCGCATTTTTTACATAGACACAGCAAATATGACTCTATATTCTTGTGTTTTCCCCCGTGTACACACAAAGTTTTTTCGTTTTGGACTTTGACTTTTTTAACTTAATAATGGGAGCACATTGACCCAATAGCCATGCATTTCTTCCCAGAATTAAATCAGAAATGCTACTGCCTGAGCTAGTGCTTGCTTTCATAAGCTCTCTGCAAAGCATATGTGAAGATACCTTGAAATAAGGATGATATCTTTCCACTTTGCAAAAACAGCATTTATCTCATTGGTTTATAGTTACAGTCTTTGTTTCGCAGATTAGCAGCTCATATTCTTCTTTTTTCCCTTGAGCACTCAGTTTAACTCTAAAGATAGAGAGATGAAATGTGCTCTATCCCCCAAATGTATATTTTTTTTCTTAGGCAGAAAAATTGATTTACAAATTTCCATGGTTAAATGCAATGTCACATAATTTCTCCTTTCCCTTTATCACTGCCAACCAACAAAGCCCTTCTTTAGGCACGAGCCATGTGTTCCCCCATCTACCCCTTCTCATTGGCAACCCCTAGGGTAGCATCAGCTTAAACATGAACATGGCCACAAGTATAAAATATTCTCTCAGTGTGCAGAGAACTTGGGATGACTGAAGAAAAGAACACTCATTTAATTAGTTGACTTCAAAATGTGTGCCCTTCGGAAAACTGCCAGAAGGCCCAAATCCTGAATTAAAACACTGATTATAATATGCAGGACATTAAACAATCAAGAAATTAAAAGAGCTTAATCCAGGCATGGCTGGCATTATAGGACTCGGGGGCTGTAAGCTCTAGCCCCCTGCTGCTCTGGGGCCATCTACTCCCAGGGGAAATTCTGCTAGACAGACAAGGCATGGCTAAGCTGTGGAATAAGAGCATCAGAAAGCAGACTGCTCATGACAACAGCAAGGAGACAATTCTTCAGGAGCCGTTGCCCAGGAAATTACGCTGATTCAGTGTCATAATGAGATGTGTTTTCTTCTACTAAATAGATCATGTAATGGAAAACTCATCTTTGGCCAGTTTACAAAAATGTTTTAAGTTGAAAAAAGAAACTGATTGGCATTTTGAGATTCTTGAAAGTGGCTCTGACATCACCTCGTGACCACAGGTAACAATCCCAACCTCAATTCACAACTTAAAACATGTAGATGTCTTTGTTTTCCTCTAAGTTGGACCAAAAAAATAACCATCAGATAACTGAGCAGAAAGTGGTGGTTTAAGCAGAAGATTTATGAATTCACCTAAATTTCATCATTTGGCCTTACACAAAAGACCCTTCTCTAGAACAACCACTCACTGTCCAATTTAAAAAATTTTTTTTGTCTGTATTACAATAGAAATATTTGTCTTATGTGACTTATTTGGTTACTACATCTAGACGTAAGGATTCTAAATTCTGACCAAAAATCAGAAAGACTGAGCAACTCATTCAGTAGCTCCCATAAGGTCCGGGTGAGAACGTTTAGCCCACGGCAACAGCATGTGCTTCTGTCTCTGGGCCTACATCCTCCTTAGTCATTCAGAACCTCTTCCTGCAGGTCTCCATAAACAGCTGATTAGGAATCCAATTGCTTCTTCTCATGCAATGTGGCAAATGCTAAGCTCATCATTATTGTTTTTTCATTAATCCCTTCTCCTTCTCTCCCTCAGTGTCCACGGATGAACTGCTGTAAAATAATTGTGCACTTTTTATCTTTAATCCTCACCTGAGGATATATATTTATTGATTTTAGAGAGAGAGAGAAGCATCAATGTGAGAGAGAAACATCAGCTAGTTGCCTCCTGTACACACCCCAACTGGGGATCGAACCCACACCCTAGGTGTGTGCCCTGACCGGGAATTAAAAATCTGCAACTTTTTGGTGTACAGGATGATGCTCCAACCAACTGAGCCACCTGGCCAGGGCATGGTGCACTTTTAAAACCAATATTGCCCTCACTTGATCACCATGGAGTCAGTCATGTTCTATGTAGATTTATCCTGCCCCAGTGTCAAGTTTTTCAGGAGATTGCTTGCATGTTAAAATCCAATGGAGCTAAAATGGAGGGTCAGGCTAGGGATCATCCAGAAGTCTTTTTTGAGTGCCTGTTCAGGGTTTAGTCCTGTTGGTGGCTTTTTTGGGGGGGGTTGGGGGGTGGGGGAAAGGTTGCCTTTTATTTGTTTGTTGTATATCTGTGTTTCCAAGACAGTGGGTTTATCTTCAAGTGTTCTTGTTATTATCTATGACTTTTTTTTTTTTTTACCAGAAGGGAGTTTTTAAAGGCATTATTCTCAAATTCCAAACAAGTACAGTTTGTTACCAGAGCTTTTTATGATGAAGGATATGTTTTTGTTAGACATTTTTGTGAGGTAATTTCCTACCCATCTTTCCCCCTGTACTCTAATTTGGGTGCTGTGAGGATAGTGTTGGTATTTGGGGTTTTTCATGTGAGCTGCAAGCATGTGGCCTTTGCAATTAGTCATAATGTTGAGAGTGGGGACCAGGGAGAAAACCAGAGAAACAGAGTCTTCCTGTTTCACACACAGATGAAGGTACCTTGGGTGACATTTATCTGTTTTCCTGTGCTCTCATTTTTGGTCTGCGTAGTTATGTTTCCACTTCGTGTGTTTCTGATTTGTGCTGAGGTCATGAAACTCAGTATGATTTCAAAAATACTACCTGAGGGGGCTGCCACCCCTTTCCCACTCGAGCTTTCTGTCACCACACTCCTTCTGAACTTGAGAACTTCCTTTGTATGTCAGTTTTCACTCACTGAAAACTCCCTGGGTCAGAATCCCAGAGCTCATTGGTTCAGGATCAGTTTTCCCAAGGAATGTTTTCCCAGGGGGCAGAGGGCTTTCATTTGTGAACGCTTGGGCAGCGCTGGGCAGACATGCCCAGCTGTTCTGGCTTCTTGGCCATCCTGCCATGGCGCCCACAGCCAAGAGCTGTGCCAGGCTGCCAGCGGGTCCTCTGACCTCGGAAACCCTCAAAACTACCAAAGCTTAAATACCAGTTTATAGATGAGATCTCTGAAGGGAAAGTAGTGTTGAGAAAACACCTTAGCCTGTGGGCCAGGCGTCTCCAGCCCAATAATCTGTAAGTAATAAATTCTATGACCTTGGGCACATGTCTTTTCCTCATCTGTAAAATGAGTGAGAGGAGACGATCTCTGAGATCCCTTTCAGTTGGGTGTGATTGTTCTCTTAGGGCATCTCTTTGGTTCCCAGACAGGAAAGCAGGAAAACATGGTTGGGAAATGGCAAGCCGAGGAGTTTTGCCAAATCATAGGCTTCCCTGAAGGCAGTGTTGATGAAAGGCTGCATTAGAACTTGGTAGAGGTCCTGATACCACTATATGGGTTATTACTACTCAGTCATCAGAGGGAGCCATTGATGATTTTGAGTGATAATATCACAGCTGAACTGAGCAAAGGTATAGAGTGATGGGGCGGGGGTGGGGGGGATCGCCTTTTATGGAGTGCCAGCAGGCTTGCCAATGGGCAAATGCCAAAGGGTCACCATGTCACAAATTTGTCATCAGGGTTCCAAAAAACTTCAAATTGTAGATGGAGATTTGAGAATCTTCCCAGATGAGATTGGAACCATGATAATAAATAAGATCTCCTACAGAGAAGGAGGGAAGGAAGACAGGATGGCTTAGGAGGAAACCGTATGGCAACTGGAATTGGAAGACGCAGCAGGGAATGTATTGTTAAGAAGCTAGGAAGACAGCTAAGAGAGCCACTTCATGAGGACTCTCAGGAGATGACAGCATTTCCAGAGTGGGCAACAGGGCAAAGTGGTACAGAGGCAGAGGCCTGAGAAAAGGAGGTTAGAATTGGCTGGGAGGATCTCACTGGTAACCTTCGAGAGGCAACTCTAGTGTTCGGTGGTGATAGGAACTTGATTACAGGAAGGCAAAAAAGAACGGTGGCACACAGAGTGCGACTGCACTGAAGAGAAAGAAGCCAGAGCAGTAGTGGGAAGTGGGGTGGGGGGAGCCAGCAGCATCGAGCCGAGCCGAGCCGAGGCTGACTGCTGTTGGTTTGCGCACGTGTCTCCTGGGGCCAGGAGGAGCAGCCTTAGAGAACGAGAGACTGCAGGCGCTGGGGCTGAGTGGTGGTGAGGTCAGAGCAGGCTCCCAAAAGGATGGGGAGAGCAGAGAGAAGATTCATCTTGGAAAGGAAGAGGGAACGCGTGGAGGGTCCTAGGGTTGGAGGCCGAGAGGTGAGAATTGGAGTACATCATCTGTTGGCCTTTACTTTTACAGTAACGGCTGTGGTTGGGTTATCTGACATAAATGTGAACATGGAGACTTGAGAGCTTTCAAGAGCCTGAAGGGGGCTTGAATTAGTATCTGTGGGTTTGACACCCAAGGGCTGAACGACCTTGGTTCGCCCTTTAGGACAAGAGCAGGATAGGGTGCCATAACCCTGGAGCAATCACTTCGGGGACTTCAGAAAATCAGCTGTGACTTCAGTTGTATACCTCTTACTAGGGCTTCTCGCAAAGAGCTTATCATCTCTCTGTGTGTGTCCCCGTTTTCTCACAGTGCAGTTGAATTACTTCCAGCAAAAAGGATAGCATGATTCTTAAGAGCCAACTGACTAGTGTTAGTTTACAAGTCTCGACGTGTCTGGTGACAGACCTAAACCGGTCCTTTTCTGCTTGTAATTAAGCTTTTCTTACAAGTTATGTATGTATAGTAATCTCAAGCATCTTAATTATCAGGGCAATAATTGGGAGGTTTCCCTGTTTTCTGGTTCAAGTCAGTGCCAGTTTCATTGCTCTTAGCTAAGTAATAAGTTCTCTTAAAATAGAAAATGTCCACTTTGTAGCCTGCTTTTGCTGTTAAAAACCGGGACACTAAGCAATAGGCCAAATTCAATTGTAGACCTCAGACTTTATTTTGAACTAGCTCTAGACAATATCATCCTCACCATGGATCCTTTTCTTATTTTTGTCACTAAGTGTGTGTTAGTCAGAAATCTTTTGGTTGGAAGTTATAGAACCCGTCTCAGAATAGTTTAGCTTTAAAATTAAAAAGAAAAGGAATGAACATAGTGGGTATCAGTCCATGGAACAGCAGTAGACTGACTGGCTTCAAGCAAGGCTGGATGCAGGGGCTGAGGCAGTGTCATCAGGAGCCTCTCTCCAACTTTTGATGCTCTTTCTCTCTGTGCTTGGCTCCCTCGTCACTACAGTCCTGGAAACTGTGTCTTTACAACTTGGAATCCCCAAGAAAGAAAGAACATCTTCCCTCCAGCTTCCATACACCAAACTCAGGGAAACCTCTGGCCTGTGCCCACCCCGGAGCCGGTCACAGGTCCACCTGGGAAGAGGCAACAGGAGGCTCTAAGTGGTGTCTAACTAGGATCACATGAGGAAGGTGTTTTCTGAAAGGGAAAACAAGAAAAGGAGGAAAGGGATGCTAAGTTAGCCAAACTCCCAGAAGTCTACTCTAAATACCATCCATCACACAAAACCTAAACAGTCAAAACAGAGAACTTTTCCAGTCTGTGGTGGTTTGGGCAGGGTCAAAGTGTATTATTTGTTGTTATTAATGCTAGTCGTGATCTTCCCTGGATTGACATCTGGAGGAAAGCAGGGATGCCCCTCCCCCCACCCAGAGCTTGACTTAGCAGAGAGAGGGGGCTGTAATGTGACTTCAGGAGGAACACCCATAACTGTCAGTGTTCGTTTAAAGTTATCTGTTCTTCTGGGTCTGCACATCGATTTGAATGGGCTCCATTAAAATGGATCTGGTTCAGCAACCATCTGGTTTCTGTCAGGCCAGAAAAGTAAACCATGCAAAAAGGCTTGGGCATTTCAGTCCCACCTGAAAGTAGGAAGGATAGATATTTGCGAGGCTGTACGTAGAAAGGGCGATGCCCAGAGAGGCTGAGAGAAGGAGGGCGGGAGGGCGCGCGCCCAGATCTCCTCACCGCACACCTACAGGTTACATCTTGGTGCAGATTTCTGCAATAACAATAAGAATGCTTAAATTAGACAGTTGTCCGACTAAAGTGTTATTTTGCCACTGTTTCTAAACCACAGTAATAGGAGAGTGACTGGCCTCCTCCTTCCCTGATTTATAGCCAGTCCGCTCAGCACATCAAAAATCCCCACAATCTGTAGATCTTTATATAGAAACTGTGGTTAAAAATAGATCCAGTAAATCTGACAGAGATAAACTTTTCTTTAAAAAAAAAGCCTTCACTTAATAATTATCTCATTTATTTGAGGAAAACCTGTTAAACTCACTTAATATGACAGTATCAGAATTGCAGTGTAGCTCTGATAAAATATAAACTGTCATTGTTCCCTCTCTTCAGGACTTAAAACAAAAACACTTGCAGTTGCCTGGTGGCAGTTATCTACCACAACAAAGCCACAGTTGATAAAACCATCAGCCCTTGGTTTTCAAAATATGTAGAAAACCCAACATAAGGCCTTGTTCCAGGATTTCTGGTAGTAACGCCCTGTTCTCCTTGTGTTCACTGTTCAGTGTTTTGTCCATGTTCATATTTTAAGAATGGCTCTCTTCCTTAAAACCCTCCTTCTGGACCAACAGTCAAGTTCTTTCTTTTTGAGCTTCCTGACAATACTCTGAGGCAGGCATTATTAATATTATCATTTTATATGTGAGAAAACAGAGGCTCCAAGGGGTTATAAGGGTCTTGCTACAACCACACAGCAGGTCAACGGTGGTCCCGGGCCTCCCCGCTGGTCTCGCGCTCACCCCCAGCCTCCAGGGCTGTCTCCAGCCTGCGGAGCTCATCATCTAGGTAGTCCTATGATTTGCCCTGTTTTCCTGTCAGCCTTTCCGTGTTGCCCTCAGGCAAACCAGACCCACCTTTGCTTTATGCAGTCGGGTTGCAGCAAAGGAGAAAGGAAGCAAGGACACCTCTATGTTTGTAGTTGGACTTCTTGACATCCTCTGCTGCCCTGTCCTTCCCTGGGCCAGCCAAGGCATGGGGCAGGTCCTCTCCCACCCTGGATGGCATGGGAGCGGACCTGCCCCATGGCATAGGGATGCCACGTTGTGTGCTGGCTGTGGATTTAGGGCTTGTGTGGGAGGATGTTCAGGAAGCTACCCAGACAAGGAACTAAGATCTCCATCATGCCTTCCATCCTGGTTTTGTTTCATATCTGAGAAATGTTTGGGAGGTAACTTTGCTTTTTATATTAAGGTAAAGCCAAAACCCTACAATTTTTGTGGTAACTATTTCCATGCCATTCTGATGATGCTCAGAAACTGCACTTGCTTTGAAAAGGGATGAGGGACAATGGGACTAGAAATGTCATTCTGAGATTTCTTAAGAGAAATTATAATGGGATTAATTTATATCTTGTTAACATCTAGACGTGGCCCAGTCTGTCCCACCCCAGCACCCCTGGGGGTTGATTCCTGAGGGTGGTGATGGGTTTTGCACTCTCTTTTACTTTGATCAGCTTGCCTGGGCCCGAGGGCAGAGTCCACGGAACTGGAAGGTGCTGACAAAGATGACCTGCTGCTGCTGAATGAGATCTTCAATGCTTCCTCCCTGGACGAGGGCGAGTTCAGCAAGGAGTGGGCTGCTGTGTTTGGAGACAGTCGGCTGAAGGAGCCGGCACTCGCCGCGGCCCCAGGAGAGCCAGACCCCAAGCCCCAGGCAGGCTCAGGATTCCTTCCTTCGCAGCTTTTAGACCAAAACATGAAAGACTTACAGGCCTCGCTGCAAGGTACGTACTACAGGGATTGAACTGAGGGTTTTTTTGTTGGTTTGTTCTTTCTTAGTTTTCTTTTGTTTTGTTTTTAATCCAAAGGCCTATTTCTTTTGTCTTTGTCTTTCTCGTTTGTTTTCTGATTTTTGTTTCATATCTAGTGTCTTTTTGGCTTATGTTTCTTATTCATTTTTATAATTTTCTTTTTACATCCAGTGACTTTTTAGCTGAAATCTTAGACTCACATCCTAGCTTTAAGATGTTGCAGGGCTTAAAATCTACTCCTCCTCTTAAAGCTCTCCCTTTGTTAACAGTCTCTATCCATAAAAGGCAAGAAGGGCGGTTCTTGGTCTTATTGTCTTTGGGTTTTACGCATGCCTGTGGGGTGCTGGAGAGGATCAGATTGTCTCTGCAGTCACGGCCCTGTCGCTTGGCCATTGCTGCTGGGCAGTCACCCTAGCTGAGTCCCCTTGTACACTCCCGCGGGACACAGTTCTCCACACCCCCGTAGACATGCCTTATTTCTGAGCGCCCACTGACAGGACACTGGGCTTCTTAACTCTTCCCACACTAATTTGCTCTTGCTCTTGCTCTTGCTCGCTCCCCATTCTGGCCCACCCTGACCCTGAGTGTGCCCTGAGCTCAACTGTCTTATTCCTGCTGGAAGCACATGGTCCCGCAGTCCTATGCATCCTTAGCCACAGCAGGAAGAGCTTCCACACCAACCACAGGGGTCAGAAGCACCGGTGAGGGTTCTAGGCATGTGGGGGCTCGCCGGCAGCCTACGTGCTGGTTGAGAATTGCTGGCCTGGGAACCGCGTGGATGGAGGATGCAGAAAGTAAGCCTCTGGTTGAAATTTAAATATTTAAGTTTGAGCCTCTTATCAACCAGACCTTGGGAAGGAAACCATTTTCTAGCATTTCAACGCTTTTTTTCCTCCTTTCATGTTGCTTTAATCGTGAGATAGTATTAAGAGATTCTCAAATTGTTTTGGTTTTTCCATGAATTTAGACTTATCTCCTTCATAAACACCTTGTTTATCTGGCACTTAAAACTGAGAACAAACGGCAGAGCCGGAATGATTAAGTAATTATGTGCTATTAAAAAAACCTTAGCTCGTTGGAGATGAGATCATGGACATGCCAAGAGTTGGTGGGCAAGACAAGAAACTCTTCTCTTTTTTATGAAACACATCATCCCTTTTATCTTTCTTCGTGAGTCCTGTTTCATGGCCATCACATTTATTTTCAGAAACGGAGTTAGAGATAAGAGGGATAAGTGAAATCCAAAAATACTTTTCTGCCCCCGGTTTCACCTCTGAGTTTCACTGCCTCTCTCACCAAGCTCCAGATAAGCAATGGCAGGGATGACTTGATGTCACCCCACCCACCTGTGGTGGAGGTGCTAACGGGCTGCAGGAGAGGCGGGCGGCCAGAGTGGCATCCACAGCTCAGCCCTCCATCCAGCTCTGCTGCAGGATGAGCCCCGCTCAAGCCCCACGTTTTGGAGTCACCACAGAGCTCGATGATGGCGGGGATCCTGCTTAGCCAGGGTGGCTGTGTCACACCCTTGTGCGTGCCCCACTCTGAGAAGCCAGAGCTCCAGGCCCTTTTCCTGAGCAGGCAGGGTGAGATGTCAGCTCTCAGGGGCCCTGGAGCCATGCCCAGGAGCTGTGACAGCAGCAGTGACCCAGGGCTTTGCGCTTCAGCCTTGTCCCAAGTCCAAGGGGAAGGCACAAAAAGGCACACTTGGTTCTAAGGAAGGAGGTGTTCTGACAGCAGAGAGAGATGCAAGCTCTACTACGGAAAGAGAAAAAGAGGTCCGCCAAGGGAGGCCAATTACTTCTCGGACAAACAGTCTCTGTTAGGCTGCCACCCTACTCACACTTTGGCAGGTGTTTCATTCATTCAATAAATATTTATTGGGTACTTCTGAGTGCCAGGCACTCGGACTCATCTGAGGACAAAGCAAGGCTTCTGCTGCCCTGAAACTCACATTCTCATGGAGAGAAGGTGATGGGCATGATAAAGAAGCAAATAACACTGGAGGTTTGAAACTGATTGATGGTATGGAGGAAAGAAAAAGTACAGTTTTGGCAGTCCTTAAAAAAAAAAAGAACAAAGAAAAAGTAAAGCCAGGGCATAGGGAGCGTGGCGGGGCGGCAGGGTAGGGCAGGCTGCCGAACTAGGTTCTTATTAGGAAGAGGAGATCGGAGTCAAGACTTGCAGGAGGTGAGAAAATTAGCCATGTGGAGATCCCGGCAGAGGGACCCCCTGTGCCAATAACAAAGGGAAGGACAAGTCCGCCCGGTGTGGCCCGGGATCTGCGGCAGGGCCTTGTGATTGGAGCCCACAGAGCAAATGGGAGAGGCACTCAGGGAAGAGATGGAGGCTGGGCCACCCAGGGCCTCGTAGCCTTTGGAAGAACTTGGGACCCATCACAGCATATTGGGCCAAGCATGACCATGGTCTGCGTTACCATTTAAAAGGATCATCTGACTGCTACAAGTTCCCTTTCCTCTGCTGCAGTTCTTTGTAACCTCTGAGTTACCCCGTTTCCTTTGCATGCCAACAGCTACAAACTGAATGTCCATGGAACTCAAAATGACAGGGGAAAAAAGTGCAACTTAAGTGTCTGGAAGGGGAAGTCCATTCGGCTTCCACCATACCAGCAGACTCCCAGCGGGGGCTCCCACAATTCCACCCTGATGCTGCCGCCTGACTCAGGGACCTGTTGGGACATGTGGTACCAATAAACAACAGGCTCCCTGCTTCGATGATTGATCCTGTAATGCACTTACATCCACATTCTATGCTTTGTTCAGGACTCCCCTCACCCCCCCCCAAAAAAAGGAGTAAAAGACAGGAGTTGGCTGTAGATTTTTCAACCATACTCTACAAGTATCTGTCTATATACATGAATTGCAAAAGCATCTAAATGACTGTGACACTTTTGATACCTCCTATTGAAACTGCTTTCCCTAATTAGCCACATCATCTCAAAAACCAAATTAAGTAAACCACTGAAATAATTAAATAGTCAAACTAAACATGGAGTAGAAAAGCTCATTGGCTTATCTGCTCAAACGGAAACAAACAGTGGGGAATGCAGAGCTGTTTGTATCCTGCAAACCTCCTCTCACTGGTTCTGCAACAATTGCTCAGGCCCTTCATATTCTCTGGGCCCTTTGCCTTCCTGTGTGTAAAAGGAGGTGTTAATATGCCTCACTAAATAATGTATGAGGAGCGACCCAAGTCATCCAAAGGTGCACCGTCTTCCCACAGGCCAGTTTTATCTTCTCATCTTTATCTTCTTATCTTTATCCTGGGTTGACCCCCACTTCAGAGGTGCTGAGGTCTGAGATTGTGATTCTGTGAATCCGCCATTAGCAGCTGGTAAACCGGCCGTTACCAGCATGCCATGTGGCCCATGCTGAGCCACACACTGTCCTGTGTGCTCAGGTGTTAACTTAATCCTCACGACACTCTTCTGGGGCAGGTGCTGTCACTGTCTACCTCCATTGTATGGCCCAGGAAACTGAGGTATAGAGTGGCTGCCTCATTTAACGAATATCATACAGCTGGTAGGAGGCAGGCTGGATTTTGACCCTGAATCTTCTAGCTGGGAAACCTGTGCCTTTAACTACTTAGTACCATGTCTCCGATGGCAGACATGACTCCGCAGGAGGCCTCTCCCTGGATGCTTCCAGGGGAGCAGCACTGACACTGATTAACCTGATTATCACAGAGAAAGGATGTGGGTATAGGGAGACAAGGTCCCTGTCAACTACAGGAGTTGGTGGGGGATGTTCTAGAGGCGACTGTTTGAAGTTAAGATTGTCCACAAAGTTGTTGCCTATACTCCCAGCCGCTGACATGCTCACTTGTACGTACACCTGCCGGGTGCCGCTGCCGTCCTCACTCTCTGTGAGGGCCAGGTGGAGCTGTGTCCTCAGGGTCAGTGTGTCAAGATGGCTGAGGTGGAGGCCCTGGTGGGTACCTCAGTTAATTAGAGCATCATCCTGATACGTCAAGGTGGTGGGTTCGATCCCCAATCATGGTATATACAAAAAGCAACCAATGAATGCCTAAATAATGGAACAACATATCGATGTTTCTCTCCACAGCAGCCTCAGGGCTCTCCCACATACTGCACCCCCACCCCTATCTCTCCCCCTTCCCCTCTTGTGCATTCCCCCCCCCTTCTCCCCATCCTCTGCTGCCTCCCCTCTTCTCTTGGGCCTCTGGGGGAATAGAAAGGAAAGGGAATTTAGTATGAGAACCTTTATATCCCACCCCACGCCCCATTTTAAGCCGTAGGAGAGCAAAACAAAGCAACTTATATTTAGGATCAAATTGTGCTGAAAATTTGAATAAAGAGTGACTTTTAGCCACGATTTCTAAGTTTCTAAAGTCCCAGCATGATAGGGCCTGGGGCTTTCTGTGTCATATAGTGATGAGAAAATTGTATCTTCCTGAGGCCTCTTGGAGTGAGTAGGAAGAGAGCCAGCAGAGAGGCGGCCTGAGGGGAGACAAGGCCAGGCCGACTGGCCTCGTCCGGCATTCCTCTCTGTCCTCCACCGCCATCCAAAGTGCAATTTAGAAACAGGCACTGATGCTCGCAATGCGTGCACCAGGACATCTTTTAATTTAGAATTCTGCAAACAGAAGTCAGGGGTCTGGTCCCCGATTCTCACAGATGCACAGCTCTGTGTTCCTTCCAGATAGTCTTTTGTTTCACCCAATTCCAAGGTGCTCTTGCCACCTGGGTGGGTTTCCATTGAAGACCAATGCAATGTTAAGCTTTGGTTTATCTCAAATGCACCTTTCCTCGCCCAGAGGTATCCGTGGCTTAGACTGGCTCCAGGCGACTGGACATCCTGGGGCTCAAGTGGAATCCTCTGAAGGAGAAGACTGAGGCATATTTAGAGATCATTTGAAGGTGGAGCAGGCACTCTCATCGTGAGCAGATGGAATTGCTTGTTCCGTCAAAGAGGCAGCACTGTCCAGGCCTTTCT